GGTAGGCCTTGTGTGCGAGGGTGGTAGCGAGTTGCACGTCCGGGTTGGAGTCCCAGGAGACGGCTTCGGCATTGAAACGGGTGGTGTTAGCATCTGTCATGGTGCTGAATGCTGCGGAGTTGTTGAGGAGGTTGAAAAAGTGGTGAGACCAAGGCGAGTGAGGTTGACTATTCTTGCAAGACGTGAGGTCACTGAGGTGCGGGAAGGGGTTTTCTGGGGAATGTATATCCGGGTAACCGGACCCGGGGGGCTGAAGGTAGGTGGTAGGCATGCGGTGGAGCTAGCGTGGGGGATGTGTCCAAGGTGAGGGGTTGTGTCCCGCCACAAGGAGGCTTGAAAAAGGGGGGCTTGGCTTGAAATTCAAGAGTTGTGGAGGCGTCCGAGGTTGTCATTGGTAAGACTTTTCAGGGTCAACATTCCCATTCAGCTGCCTCTATATAAATTTAATAGTCTGAAATGTTAACAGCTAGGAGTTAGTACTTGCTAGTAGACGTGGACTCACTGCTCCTGGGAAAGAACGGAAAACAGCAGACCAAAGGATAGAGAGCTGGTTGAGAACATTGTTGCTTGCATCAAACCTGCGTCGATCTTCTACTACAGTTCTTCCAACTCATCTCTCCTTGCCGCCCGAGTCTATCCTCCAATTCCTCCACAGTAATACGCTTCATCGCCAACATCACTCCCACGACGCAACGACATTCAGTCCAACATCAACTTCACCAAACTGCCACATCTCCCAGCCCCTGCTTAGTTGCAGCCCGTCGCGCGATTCGACAAGCACTGCGTAACCCAGAAGTTACCGAGCTGCACGTTTCTCTTCAAGCCCGACACCTTGCCATTGCTGTTGCACGAGTTGTACGTGTCCACAGCGGCATTGTACAGATAGGCGCGCACGCCGTACGCCGGGGAGGACCAGCTCGCGAAGCAATTGTTGTAGCGGATGTTGCGCGGCTCCCCAGGCAACTCGTTGAGGTCGTTGCTGAGAGCGGAGATTAGGTTGTAGCAGTCGCCCGTGTTGGCCTGATGGTCGCCGGAGCAGACGGGGCTGTCACGGGCCGCAAGTTGGCCCGAGGTCTGGGCCTGGTCGAGGCCAGCGATTGGAGCCCGCTTGGTGATGGTCGCCGGGGGCGATGGGACAGGCAGACCGGGGGGCATGTTGGCGTCGGTGAGGAGCCAGTAGCTGGTGTCGTTGTCGGTCACGAGAGTGAGGTTGAGATGGTAGCCGGTTGAGGGGTCCGGGACCGCGGTAGTGAGGGCGGTGCTAGCCAGGAAGGCGCTGAAGATGGCGAAGTACTTCATGGTGCAGCTTTTAAGACTGTAAGTCTGAATGGAGTGAATCCTTAAATTTTGATGGAGATGTAAAATGCTGGTGGTGAGTTATGAGAATGTTTGCGGGTTGGTGGCTGGACTTTATCTTTCCTGGCTGTGAGGACTCCCTTCTGGCTTTGGTCTCATATCTTGCACAAATTCTCAACAACAGGCACCTTTGCCAAACAAGCGCCCCTCACAATACGACAAGGCTTGAAGCTGAAGTTGACCTTACCGGATGATCGACATGGTCGCTTACTCAACGGCTTATGGAAGATGCAGTTGAGCAACAGTCAAGTTCCAAACCCGGGAACTATGCCGACAAGCCCCATGCAGTGTCACCATAAGCTTTCCAACTGGGACCTGTATGCCGCGGTATTTGTAGGAGTGTTAGGGGAATGTGTATTGACGTTGAAGCCTAGGGCTTATCAGCTTGTACGAGCCAGTTAGTGTTTCAAAATACACTTTTGTGACAGTCAGCTTCATGCGAGACTTGGGACTAGAATTTTTTAGGATATCACAGCGATGCTCATTGGATGCTGGCCATCGATGGTGTGAGTGCCGATGTCCTTTGAAGCTAAATGCTAGAACCCTCAAAGACATTACAGCGATGCTCAACTTATCACTTTGCCTTAGGCTAGGTGTCAGCTTACATGTTTTTTAAGATCCATGATTGCAACCATAGTATCCCCTTCATAATTGAAGGCACTAACAAGTTGAACACAGCTTTTCAAACTACGCTCAATCTTCCGTATCAAAAAAAAAAAAAAAAAAAAAGGAAAAAGGAAAAGGAAAGCCACATGTCGTAATTCAGGCCAAGTTCAAGTTCAAAATATCAGTTTCTATGTAACAGGTCAGCAACAGCGTACATGCAGAAACTAAATAATAGTCGGGGGCCTCGAAGCAATTAAGCCTCATTTTCGGTGTATTACCTTCAAGAGAATCTAGTGCTGACATGATTTTTGAAGGATGCCAGGCAACCTTTAATCAGACCATGACTGAGACACAATGTTGGAGATTACCAAGGTGTAACGTTAGGTGTAGGAGGGGCGGGCATATCCAATGTCAAGACTGTGAAGAGACTGGTATTGTACAGCTATAAAACTTCCAAACTTTTTCGACCTCTGGATCCTTTTCAACAACACAACTCGCTCTCATCTCAGACCTGCCTTCAATCGCCCACTTCCCAACTACTCTTCCCGGTCCAATCAAGCAAACGTATGAGCCCAGTCAACCACGACTCCCAAGTTTGCTCCTACTAATGCCTTTTTCAATCCAGACCATGAAGTCCTTTGCCGCCATCCTCGCGCTCGCCGCCTCGACCGTCCTCGGTGCTGCTGTCATTGAGCGCTCTGCTGAGCCCGCCCCCCACAACCTGACCCTCATCCTCGACAGCGACAACGAGGGCAACGCCGTCTGGCGCTTGACGGAGGAGAACATTCCCGTCCACGTCAAGCGCCGCAGCCTTGACAATTCTCTTGATGCCCGCTCCGAGGGTCTCGACAAGCGTGGCTCTCCTGAGTGCCACACCAACAACCGCGCCTACTCGGATGACTGCCGCATCCTGATCAACTCGATCCAGTACTCGAACTCGCCCGTGCCCAACTCGCCCCGCAACATTGTCTACGCCACCTGCTATATCAGCTGGTCCAAGGTGTTCTCCGGCGTCCAGAGCAGCTTCTGGCCTGGAGCGTACGATCTTCTAGGCGCCTGTCTCACAGGCCAGATTCCGGAGTTGGAGGACCACAATTACGTCTCGGGTGTCATCCGGGACTATTTGCCCAACGGTGCTGCTGAGTGCCTCTCGGGCCGCGCCACTGGCTGCAGCTAAATGCTCGGTGCTGTTTTTGTGCGTGCATTAAAGCCCCTAATAGAGATCTGATTTGTTTTCTGATTGGCTAACAGGTAATGTTCAACGCTAGGAAACACTGACCTTTGCTAAAGAGTGCTGGTGACCTTGACCCAGAGGTCTATATGAGTTGTTGATTGCTATTAGAAAGCTGAAGAATCAGAGGAAATGGAACATCAGTTCTGGTGTAGATAGTGTCAATTAGTGAAAAGAACCCATAAGCCTGCGCCTGTGTTGATCAAATACGAACAAAGCGAGCATGAGCAACTTCATGTGTATTGTTTGACAATCATGGAGTTTCACACCCACTTAACATTCCTGACATCTCAATGTCGATTCAAATTCGTGAACAGACAAGAAAGACCAAGAACATGGGCAGGAAAAGGTATAGGTCAGTTATTGCAACGATAGCATCAAGTATCACATCTTGACAGCACCCACAAGAAGCTTAACTTATTCAGGACATTGCCTTGAGGAATGCAAGTAGATTAAAATCCAACAGCTCAAAAGCACACCAGCGTAGTACCCCAACAATAGCGATGAGCCAGTCTGACAGCACACAAATTCCATACCCTGCCGAGAATCCTCTTAACACACCAAGTGGTAGGAACAGCCCAAGCATGCCTGCTGCTATTTCTGATACCAGGCAGCATAGTCAACTTCCATCTTTGCCCCGGCACCGTCATAAGTCTTGTCGCCGGGAGCATCCTATGCGCATGTTAGAAATTTCACTGCCATAAGTTTTAGAAACACGGCGACCTACCGCAGGCGCTAGGCCAACCTCTTTGAAGTAGTAGTAAAGATACATCGGGGCCCTGGTCCGTCTCGGTCTTTGCAACATCAGAGGCTTTGACTGAGTGAACGATTTGGCCATCCAGATACCAGCCTATAGTTTCATCCTTCCAACTGTGACGGCGCGGCGTCTTCGCGCCTTGACGCATCACATTCGCATCATCTCTCCCTAGGGCCCTGGTGACTGGAGAGGTTCAATGGTTCCATGGCTCGCGGTGGATTCAGGCACTTACCCGTTGGGGCGGTCAGGGCAGGTTGCCTAGCCGCAGGACCGGTGACAGACAGATAGTTGGGGCATCCATTTGGAGAGCCTCAGAGAGTTGGGAGCTCTTTTATCGGGCACAGCACCCGTAGCTTCGCTACAGCTTCACTCTCTCCTCAGTTTGTTGTCTTTGTCAATAGAGTGTAGCTGTTCTCTGGCCTCGTTCCGGTTGCTTGTGCCTCGCCGTGACACCAACTAGAGGTGTCTCGGATGCATAAGACTCGCTATTGGATCTTGTTGGTTGTGCCAAACATGCTCTGTCTGTGTTGTACAGTGTTGATCTTCTGCATGTCACCTTCCAGATTTGTTTGCGGTTTTAGCTGCCAGCGTGCAACCAAGACAATTAGGTACCTGCACCCAAACAAGGCACTAGCAATCGCTAAGTGGGCGCACGGTTCGGCTGGAATGGGCAGCCACTTCCTTCGCCTCTCCAGGAGATTGTTGACGCTTGTATGCGTGAGGTGCTGTTGGATGTTATCGTGGGTAGACGAATATTGGCTCTACGCAGGGCACGGCAATTGAAATGGGCTCAAATCTGGTGATATTTCTCTGTCCTGATTGCTTGTGTGGACTTCCTTGGTTGAAGGCTTGCGTGTGTCTTCAGGGTGCTCTTCTCCGCACCTAATTTAGGTAGCTTGCACCTGACGCAGGCGGCCTGAGGCATCTGGCTTACTTATCATTTCCAACAGGTGCTAGAAGAATAACCAACGTTGGTGGAGTTGAGACGGATGGTGGAGGCAGTCAAAAAAGGGGGCGAGGAAGACTTGTGTGATTTGCCAAAAGATAAACTGACAAGAGTGGGATTCGAACCCACGCCCTTTCGGACCACGGAATCCAGAAGATAGGAATTAAGGGTTTACCTTAACGTGGCGCCTTAGACCGCTCGGCCATCTTGCCTTGTGCTTGAAGTGCTTAACAAAAGTTTCAATACATATTGTGCACAGGCAGCTACGAGACCGACCACATCCATAGTCCTCTCGTGGTCCTAGATGGATCAGGCTTTATCCCCGCCATTCTTAAAAATTCTTCCGAGGCATTGGCAACTCAAAAACATAGCTATAGTCTCAGATATTTTGACGTGCAGGCCACGTCGTATTTAGATAGGCTTGCGGGTGCTTGCTCTCTTTCTCTCTCGGGAGAGGAGGGCAGGCGGGACAATCAACATTCTTTTCTGACGACGAGAACTCAGAGGAGTACACTAAGTGCAGACGGGAGAGGATGATGCTCTGACCGGAGGGATAGAGCTGATTGTTGTCAGAAGCGTGCCATGCATACGACGCCGGAGTCGCCTTGAGCCATGACTTGTTGAAGTCTTCGTTCCTCCCCCAAATTCACGACATCACCGTCACCAGACTTCGCTGACCAGAAGAAGGGTGTGGTGTGGTTGTGGATTTAGGTGCTTTGCACCAGTTCACTATACCGATGGTTAAGAGAAGAAATCAGTGAATGAGCCTGCAAAATACAAAAAGAGAAGGCCCCTTGGCCTCCGACCGGTGCGAGTCAGATTGCCTACTCCAGCTCGAGCTTTCTAGCCAAGCTGTACATCGGCAGTCTTCCTGAATCCATCAGCCAGCCCAGTATCCTCCTCGTCAGCCGAACAGTTGAAGGATTGGCACCCTGTAGAACAGAGTGAAAGTCCCGTCGCGTCCTGACTTCTGCTCTCTCCCACGTCCGAGTCAACGGTGGGGCCAAACACCACACCACCAGGTGTTCAACAGTCTCCCGCCCTTCGCCGCATTCGCAGCAGGGCGTCAGCACACTTGGGACTTTCCGTTTGAACAAGAAGTCCCGGAGGCCTATATCCCCAGTTCGGACTTGGACCAACAACGAGCTCTTCGCTTTGCTTAGTCCCTCGTGCTTCTTAAGAGTCTTGTCCTTGAATAGAGTCTTCTGCTGGTGGTCGAGGTCGTCCGCTGGTCTCGTCGTCGCCCGACCATCTCGTCCCTTTAGCCATCTTTCTCTCCAAGCCTCCTCGACTACCCTATCCGTGTCGGTGGTTCCCCCGGCCCAACGTGCTATTACTCCTGCGGCCTCTTCTACCGCTGTCGGCCTCTGTGGCCTAGAGGCCCGTGGTCGGCCCCTGTTGCTCTTCTAGCCGAATTAGAAATTTCCTGAATCAAGAAACAACATCAGGAACACCTGAATAACCCTTTGAGTTCCATCCCGATGGTCATATCTGCTGCTGAATTAATTGCTTCATTCCCCGCGCAGTGATTCAACAAAATGCTGACTGACATATTGTTGAAGCCTCTCGGCGTTCAACATCATACGCGCCGCTTTTTTGTGCGCAAAACTGAGCACCTGTTTTTAATGGCGGCGTGGAGCTTCTTGGCCTGCTCATCAATCAAAAAGTAGCAGCTGTTCTTAGCAGGAATGCGAACAATAGTTATCGATGAGTAATGGAGAAGGGATCGTTATCAGCCTTCTCTTTCTTGCAGTCTAAACCGCCAGAGACCTCAATAGACAGAACCTGGGCGATAAAATCAGTCAAAAGTTGTGTCCAGCAGCGATTGGAAAAGTGATGCCTCTATGATGGCCATGTTACTTTCAAACCGCCAGACCTGGTGGCTTTGCGATTGCCATCGGCATCTGGGAATGCAACCTGCATGGATGAAGCGGGGTATGCAGAGTGTGGAATTTAGATTGCTTTCCCGCCCGTGAAGAACGAAGAAGATGTCGAACCGCAGTGTGCATCAAGCCACCGCTGAGTTGGTGCACATCTACCCCTCACTTTGATCTGCGGGTGAGAGGGAGGAGGGAGGCTTTTCCCTCAATAAACAACATCAAGAACACCTGAACAACCCTTTGAGTTCCATCCTGGTGGTGATATTTGGTGCTGAATATATTGCTTCATTCCCTGCGCAGTGGTTCAACAGAAGAAGGAGGGCTTCGTTACTTTCTATCAAACCACACTGTACTGTCTACGCTACTGGTGTATGCAGAGAGTTAAATCGGGAAGGCGTAAGCTCGCATGACCGATTTCCTGAGCGGGGAAAATGACAAACTGCCGCGGGAGTGCCTTGATAATGCAGTTGGTGGCTTGGGTTAACGTTTCATGTTGTCGGTGTGGTTCCTGTTTAGGAAGCCCATGTGCCTTATATGCCGACCCCGAACCTCCACGTACTCGGCCCGGCAACTTACCTGTGCCGGATCCGAGTTGCAATATTCCGAGCCTCAAGCCACCAGCTGCCTTGCATCCTCCTTCTTCGTTTGAAGTTGTTCTCGTTTCTTTTTCGTTCAAATTCTCTTTTTTGTTTTGGTTCCGTTTTATCTTCAGCTCCTTACTTTGTTATCCAAGAGACTTGAATTAAGAACTTGAAAACCAATATGGAGGACGTGTTCTCTCGGCAGCCCAACTTCCACTTTAGCTGGGCATCACATTTGTTTGGCTTCGGAGGACCATACTCAATATTTGTCTTCCGATCCTTCTCCAAGCTTTGGGGACTATTTTGAGCAGGGCAGACAGGAAACGCGGATGACCTGTTGGTGATACTCTGCCGCACTTGCATGCACCTCGAGCCGTGACCGAGTATTCAAAAAGAAACTTTGAGACATGGAAGACCGATTTGATATGATTTGTCTTTACTCTGTCTAGCTTCTCCCCGCAGTTTGGCGTGGCCCGCGGCCATCGAAAACCACAGCCTCGTCTTCAAGTTCGACAGCACTGTGTTACACAAGCTTCTTGGCTGAAAGTGGGGTACCTACCAAACTGCAGAAACGGGAAGTCTACTTAAATCCGTTCCGAATTTCCCTCAGAGAAAAGGTTGGTAGAGGTAGAAGCGAGTCCCCCGAGTTCGAGTCAGAATTTCTGCTCCAACTTTTGTTTATCTTCGGTTTAAACCAAAGAGTCGGCCCCTCGCTCAGACTTTAACCCTCCCAGATGTCTTCAAAGTCGATTTTGATCCCACGTTCTCATCCCTCCTCTTTTGCAATCAATCCAACCTCACTATGTATCCCACCCCTAGTGCCCATGACAATGTCTCCCCAACCTGTGGTTCATGCGAACAGCAAGTCCAGCAGACATGGGGTTGCCAATTCTGTGCCGCCCCGTTCTACGACCCGTGCTAGGATAAGCAGGTTTGCCAGGATGGATGGATGGAATTTATTTCGCCCGGAGGCACTAAGCCTAAAGGGCCTTGGCACGCTAAGTACATTCGATTCCTCCGCTTTGCCTTGATCTCGTCCAAGCCCTTACATTGTTTACCTTGTACAACGCCACATCATGCCTCTTTTCTCAATCGCGAGCAAATCGACTTGGAGGCTGCATTCTCCAAGTGTTCAGCGTCCTATCTTCAGCGGCTAAAGCGGGACCTGCTGGATGAGGTTGTGTGGTGTTAGTTGCGTGAGTTCCTTTAATGTGATCTGGAGTCACTGCGCTTGGCTCGGCCCTTGCTCGTTGTCCGGTTCCAATCTTCCCGTTGCCAATGCGTATTTAATCGCTGTACGGACTGCTCTCATGTCTGGTGACCAGTGCTTTGAATCTGACGGTGCTTTCCCTCCCAGATAGAACGAGAGGCTCCCTCGTCTTGTCGTTGTGCATTGTAGCATGTCTTCCCTTAGTGCTGTCCATCTCACGCATCGCAGGAGAAAGTGCTCCACTGTTTCTCTCGCATGCCCACAGGCACATTGGTCGGAGTCGGCAGCTCCTATCATGCTCAGAAAGCCGCTCAGCCTTGTCATTCCCGTCCGGAGTTGCGCCAACACACTGGCCTCTCTCCGCTTCAACTTGTCATAGAGCTCGCGTGTATGTTTGCCAGGCAGCGCCGTGTCCATAGCTTTGGAGAACTTGCCCACGTCCTCTGGGAGCCTTTTCCCTTGCTGTTGTTTGGCTATTGCTAGCCTGATCGTTGTCGACTTTGCCTGGTCTGGTTGGACGTCTGGTGGTTGCCTCCGTTTCGTTGCGCTTTGCGCTGCCGCTTTTGCCTCAGATGCTAGTGAAAAGTCGATTTCCGCTGGGATCCATATGAAGTCGATAGAGTTCCCCCCTTGCTTCAACAGCTCCACTGATTTGTAGACCTGCCGTATGATGCTTTGGCCAGACTGTTGCCGCGGTTGTCGGATGGCTGCGAGTGCTGACATGCTCCTAGTGATGACGGTGATATGCCTTTGGAGGGTGCCAAGTGGCACGTTCTTTAGCGCCATTGCTATAGCTGCCAGCTCTGCTATATACGGGTTCTGTTCCTCCCTTGTCCCGAGAGTCACCGCGTAGCGTGTCCCTGCTTCACCTGTCCTGTCAAGGAGAGTGTCCGTGTGCTGCCGCCCATGCCAACGATGCCCTTCCTTACGGATGAGCTAGTCGCAATGATGATGCCTATGGTCCTGTTGACCATCTCGGCTGCCTTCTTTTGGTCGGGCTCAAGCGTCACCTGTAGGCGGGTTCCCAGGGCGGGATGGCGTGCTCCTGGATGGTTTCCATCCGCCCGACTTGTATTTCGTTCGTTGCGGAGGCGATCTTCTGAAGCGGGGAGGTGAAACGTATCGTCTTCCGAGCCTTTACTGAGCTCAAGGGGTGTGCCCTTGGCAGGGTGTGCAGGTTGATCCAGAGTTTCGCAGCCCCTTGCGCGTGTCGTTGCCGGATAGAGGGGATACTTGCTTCGGCTTCTGCTACCGCTGTCGCCACGGTCCTGAAGGCTCCCGTGATCGCTAGGGCGCCTGTCTTTTGGGCCCTGTTCAGCCAGCTCAGCGCCTTTTCCCCACATGCGTGCTTCCAGACGTTGGCTGCATAGTCTATGACAGGGGCGACGGTCGCCACAAACAGTTGCCTTGCTGTCTGCGGGGAGAGCATCTTCAGCCTCCTCAAAGCCAAGGCTGCTGTGAGGCCCTTAGCTGCCGTTCTAGCCATGTGTTGCTTGTAGCGGAGTTCGCAGTCCATCAGGACTCCCAGGATCTTGGCGTTC